GGACGGTGCAGAGGAACGGATCTCAGAAAGGTCCTTGGTTCTCGAGAACGAAGTGTTCTTCAGAACGGTTCTAGAGAAGAGTCCTTGGGATCGTGTCGTTCTGATCCGTGTTGAACGGAGGCAACAGACTACGTAGGGGTAAGAGAGACAGAGAGAGAGGAGAGAAAGGCAAAAATGTGCGCGCCTGTCGACCACATGACGCGTGATGAGACAAGCGTGCCACGCAATGCCGCGGGCTGAAGCCATGGGACAACACCGAGACGGGACAAACAAGAGGGCTTCGTAGAAGAGGTGGGTGGGCATGGGCGGATCCAGTAGCGCGCCGCCGCCGATGTTTTTTTATCGTACCGTGTCGACCGCGCGAGGCCATTCGTTACGGCCGGAACTCGGAGAGAAGGAACACCTCTCTTTGCCAGACGAACGACGAGACGATCAGGCATCCGCCTCCCTTGTGTTGTAAGGACATGCACCCAACGCACCGGCCATGAGTAGACCACATTTTTCTTTTGTGGCTCTTTGGGGCCGAAGCTTTGTGCATGCTCTCTCTCGCGAACACAAAGAGAGGAAGAGCCGGTTGCGTCTTCGTCCTCGCTGGTGATCCGTGTGTTTTCTCACTCGCATGAGCCTCGCTCACGTTGTGGTGACACGATGCGATAAACAACAGAAGTGGGAGAGCGCGCGCCCCCGTGCCCCCCCCCTCCCTTGAGTGCCAAAGATTCGCCCCACGCAGTTCAACCGGCCGTGACTGTCGTCGCCCAGCCCGCATACGACGGCGTCTTATGGTGGCACGGTTGTTTTACGGAGAATCTTGATAAGTTTTTGCCCCCTTGAGATTGGGCGAAAAACAAGGAACCAGCATCCCAAGCAGTATTCCACCAACAGACAAAGGCATCGAAACTACTGCTGTACCCGGAGTGAGACGGTCGGTCCGAGAGCGTGCCGTTGGTAGCTAGCTGATACTTTCGAGAGTTGGGTCTTGCACACAACGGGAAAACATTTGTGCTATTGTATGTATAGAAACATGAAATATAGAAAGAAAATGAAACCATGGGTCCGATGGGTGTATCGACCGATCGATATAGCGCAGCATCAACCCTACCTGATCAACCATGTTGTACCAAGCCGCGTTCAACTTGATCGAATCTCCACCAAAAAACAACGAGGCAGCATTATCTGGAACATGGGGGCTAGTGCTGCGGTGGTGGCGCGAAAACCGCCTGCGTGCAGATCAAGGAACAGGGTGCAAAATTATGTATGTGCGCTAAACTTCACTCAATAGACTCGCGTCTGACCTCCCCCCTCCAACCACGCCGTGAAATCTCCCTTCTACCATCCGCACGAAATCCAATGCTCCAACGACGCAACCTAAAATGTCCCCCGTCAGCCGTACCTGGAGCAAGGTGATGGCCCGATCGTTCTGGTCGTGGCCCCTACCCGAGAGCTGGCGGTTCAGATTAAGGAGGAGTGCGACAAGTTCGGCGGGTCGAGTGACATCAAGAACACGTGCGTCTACGGCGGCGTGCCGAAACGGTCACAGGTGAGAGATAAACCTACGGAGCGAAAGAGCACAGCGCGTGCTTGTCGGAGGGCTCTCGAGTCCCGCGCTTCTTCCGTGACAGTCACTCGAGAAACGGAGGACGTAGTGAGGTCATGAGGACGATATGTCGTCGAACATAACTCCACTTTGGCATTACTCCAACAGAAACATAGGCATCATCTCAGCCCGTGTAATATGGTGACGCAAATCCAGATTCCAGATCTACTGACTGTCCCAAGAATTGAAGATTGTGTTCTGTACATTTCGGCCCTGTTGCGTGCTGGCATAACCGCCTCGCTGCATGAAATACGATTCAGGTCTACGACCTCAGCCGTGGCGTGGAGATCGTGATCGCCACCCCCGGACGGCTGATCGACCTACTCGAGTCGGGCAAGACAAACCTTCGTCGGGTCACCTACCTCGTGAGCCGAGTCCCGGCGAGAGGGAGCCGTTTGACTGTTGTGTTGTTGCTCTTGGCCTAGGATCATTTTGATGTTTTAAGCATTGGATTTTGGATGTGAGGCCTCCAGCTCCGACCTGTGGTCCCGCCCATACTTTCCCTGTGGTGTCTGTCTTCTCCTCAACCACTGAGCTGGAGCCTGGTTGAGCCACCCAAACTTTGGTGTTTTCATCAGTCATGGAACTACCGCGGCCTACGGCGGGCACCAGCTGCAAAAGTCGCCTTCGCGATACACAAGCGGCTAGACGCTTTTGGGTGTTGACCGTCTCATACACTGGTTGTTTAAAAACACAATTGTTCATGAAGAGGTGGATAATAAGAAACTGTGTTTGGAGGTCTGTCTGCTTATAAGATTGTTCAGGTTTTGCCTTGTGGAATGGTCTCGTGGCGCTTGTTGTTGTGACAGTCAAAGGATTGACTGGCATGCTGCTGAGAGTACTACAGTAGTATGGTACCATGATAATCGGCATATCAGCTGGTCGTTTGTGACTCGTGAAAGCAGTGTTTTGTGGGGCGCGAATAGCAAAAACAAACAACGTCAGCATAATCCGCTCCGCTCTGTTTGAAAATTTCGCATTCCGGTGCGGGGCGTGCACTGCTAGACTAGTTGGACAGCAGCATGTTAACCCCGAGCTTCAAATTGGAGTAGAAAATAGCGTCGCCTGCTGTCCAAACCAGATTCCATTCAACAGTACCAACCTATACCGCAACAATGTTAGGTCCTGGATGAGGCGGACCGAATGCTGGACATGGGCTTCGAGCCCCAGATCCGCTCCATCGTGAGCCAGATCCGCCCCGACCGCCAGACTCTCATGTGGAGCGCCACGTGGCCCAAGGAGGTGGAGGGGCTCGCCAGGGACTTCCTGCGGAACTACTACCAAGTGCGTATGTCAAGAGGGGGAGGGTATAATGACGTATGCATACCAGTGTGCTCACAGTGAATTTTAGGCGGTTCATGGAGGGTGTGTGTGCTCTTCTTTAGTTGCTTACCTGAATTGTGGACAATTGACCACGCGCATAGCATACACCTCCCGAGAGGGAAGGAGCGCCGTTCTTAGGCCGACTGGAGGTGCCGCTAGCAGCGTTCGGGCTCTGCTAATTTGTCTCTACAGCTTACGTAAGGAAGTCGTGTGTGAGCAGTGAAGCGGAGAGACGGGGATGCATACATAGTGCTCTTGCTCGTCACGATTAAATATCGCACATCGGGAAGGGGGGGAGGGGTGGTGTACTCATAGTCGTGCATGCCGTAGTCGTTAGACCTTTGACCTCGCATCCCTACAAAGCCGGCACGGAGCACGCCGGGTTCTCACCGGACCAGTCTCTCACATCACCAAGCGCGAAGCACCATGAGGTATTCGGCGAGTCGCATCAAGGGTGAGCTGCATCCTGCTAAGGATGTTCGGCATCTTGTGCTTACTTCCTTGCGTACGGATGACAGCTGCGCATGACTTCATTTACTTTCTGGTGCTTTCACTTCCAGAGACAGTCATAAGCACTGTGTAACTGCCTCGAGGATGTTTGACCATTTTAACACAACGTGGTGCGATTATCCTCTTTGCGCGGAGTGAGGTTTCTCGACCCCGCACAACATGATCTACTCGACCACCATTATGGTTACCGCCCAAAAACAAATCAGAGGAAAAAAAAAACGGTAACCTGATTGCCGAGCTCACGAAGTGACAGGCTTGTTTTACAACATCGCTACCAAGCGAGCAAAACCCAACCCCGATGGCAAACATCGGGGGGGGCGGCACGTTTTACAACGTCGTTGCCAAGCGACGAAAACCCAACCCCGATGACAAACATCGGGGGGGGGGAAGGGGGGTGCTTGATCGTAGACAAAATTAGCGACCTTCTTCGCTCTCTCGGGTCCTCCTTGCTCCCTTCCAAGGTGACGGTTGGATCTCTAGAGCTGTCGGCCAACAAGGATATCCAGCAGGTTGTCGAAATCGTGGAGGACTTCGGCAAGTACAGGGTCCTCGCCAAACATCTCCAGGTAATTTTTTTAATTGTTGTAGGACAGGACGTCAAGCTAAATAGCACTTCGTACGTAGGCAGCTGTTGTCGCATTGCACGGACCCAAACAAATTCGTATGCATTGTAGGATAGACAATCCCGTTAGCGGTTATGGTGCTGGTGCTGCTTTCGTGCATTACGCTTCGAAGCAATAGGTAGTTCGTATTTTGTTGAATATTTAATTGCTTTTGTTGATGGTTGTTGACATGATGTTACATAGTGTCGATTGTGTTGGGTTGGCGAGATCGAGTTAGACATCGGAAAGCGCAAGGCACAAGGCCCTACGTAAGCACCTCGAGGCGCAACAAACACGCGAAAACGAGTATATTCAGGAAGTCACCTCGGAAGCCCACAACGTTCACTGCAAGACGAATACCTGACATTCGTTTGACCTGAAACTGTGCAGGAGCACAACAACGCGGGAAGGGTGCTCATCTTCGTTGAGACCAAGAAGGGCTGCGACGCTCTCACCCGCTCCCTCCGCCACGAGGGCTGGCCCGCTCTCGCCATCCACGGCGACAAGAATCAGGTGCGTTGCGGATTCTAGATGTACGTACACAGGAACGTGAGCGACTTTTGTGTTTCGGTGCGTACATTTTGGCGGTACCCGAACACGCACGACGGCATTGTGGAACAGCAGAGCTACAACGTTAAATGCAGCACGCCCGAATCTGTTCGCATGCTTGTGCTTTGTGTGTTTTCTGTTGCGCGTAAGCTTGCACATTTTTCTCTTGTGTTCTCGCGGGCTGTGGTCCATTCTTTCCCCTTGACGCCCCACTCGCCCCCCCGCCCCCGCGTGTGCCTCTTTACCATCGACCTCCTTCCTCCCCTCTCTGCTACCTCGCGTTGTTGGTGTTCACTCTCTTGCTCTCTTTTTTTTTTTTTTATTAATAATTCCCACAGAGCGAGCGCGACCGTGTCCTGCACGACTTCAAGGAAGGGAGGTCGCTCATCCTTGTGGCTACCGACGTGGCGGCCCGTGGGTTGGACGTCAAGGACATCCGGATGGTAATCAACTTCGACTTCCCCAAGGAGATGGAGGTAACGTGGGTCAGAACTGCTGCCATGCCTGGTGTTGTTTCTTCGGCAACGGTATTTTTGGTCTCCTTCGAGTACACTAGAAGCAAGCCGGTTGCAGCGATGCTAGGTTACGCGGCGTAAGGATTTGATGCTGGTGTGAAGAGCGTGTGTGCGTGCTTGCGTGGAAAAAGGACCACTCTCGCCGCAAAGATGGTTGGATGCTGATCAGTCGGAGGTAACATCTGGACGTGACTGTTTGGTGTGTGTTTTATCCCGGTCATGAGCTTCGATTTTTTGTACCGACAGGAAATCAAATTTCCCTACTGAATGGAACGGTTAACGGATGCACGCTGACGGGTCGCGGAGTTTCTGCTTGAAGGACGGCGACGGCCGTTCATAGCCCTATGTTTGTCCATGTTTTCAAGAGAGAGACGACGGAGGCTATCGTAGGTAGCTTGGGGTGGGGAGGAGGTGATGACGATCATGCGCTGCACAAACCATGGCCATGTGCATACACACAACGACGTGCTACAGCAGCAGTGGACGAGTGGTGTACTCAGGGAGATGATCAAGAGCAGAACCCACGCGGGGTATGTAGTCGGGTCGGGTTTTATGTCTCTATCTCGCTCTCTAAGCTTTGAAGGGGCAGAATGGAGTATGTCTGAGGTGAACACCAACATAATTCGGAGACATACTGCAGTTGGAACAATTGCTAAATGCGTTTCACCTCGAACAAGCTTGCCACCGGATTAAACGGCTAGGCTAGGCTAGGTTATAGACTTGCTACCTCGAGTCGAGCAGTGTTTGATATTTACTGCGAATTAAGGAACATGTTTCCTTTGGTGGAAGCCGAAAACAAGAAGCAAGCCTTGATCGGTTTTGTAAACCAACCCTCTTCTCACCTCCCCCCCCCCCCCCCCGACCCCCTGTAAATGTTTTCTTTTTTCTAACGGAACCCCTGCCCCCCACTCTTGGGGCAATCCTAACTCCCCCCCAACCGCCGGGGGGGGGGTGGCGGGGACAAAGGGACAACTATTAACCTTTTCCCCCGGGAAAACTCCCAATGGGCGAGGGAAATCCTCCAGGACCCCCAACCGGGCAAACCAAAAGGAAGGGGGCCTTCTCCCACACCCCGGGGGGAAATTAATTCATGGTGGGGGCCCAACTTGGGTCCTTTCCCAAAAGTCCAAGTGAACTCCCCCCAAAAATACCCCCCCAAAAACCCCCTGCCTCCTGTTTTTTTTGTGGACCCCTGTCCCGGGAAAATTTTTTTTGGAAAAAGGGTTA